TACAAAGGTTTTGTTGCACACATTGCTTCCTACAAGCAATCATGCAACTAGTAATTCAAAAACACATTACATCTGATTAAATCAAAAATACACATTATACTCATATAGTCCTTTTTTCTTTTACTTTTTTTAAACTCCCAGTGTAGTAGTACATGCACTCAGAATAGATTATCATCAGTCTGTTCTGTTTTTTATTTTTAATTTTTGGATTAAATAAGTAGCAGATTTATTGTTGCCTTCATGTCAGCCACGCTAAAATTAGGGTAGTGTTCTTAAATCAACTAGGAAGGAGGCTGCTCACTTGATTTGTAATTTTAATGAATTTAGTGACCGCTAATGAGAGGAAGTATTTTATCTGGATTATTTTAACAAGCAGAAATAGAGCTCATTATGCATATTTTCCTAGACCAAAGATGATCTCGACTCTTTGAATTGATCCCAGTTTGATGCCAATCCTTTGGCTTCTGGTTTGACTGTATTGAAAAAATGCAGATGTAGTTCTGGATTGTGACCCTTTGCACACTTTTATTTCTGTGTCCCAAGCCCCAGCAAAACAAAATAAGGTGTAGTTTTATCTGTGAATGCACAAACAAGGGTCTGATTTCTCATGCTGATAGAAATGAGCTCTTTTTATATGTCCTGATGTTGCTTTGTTCCCTAATGTACATAGAAATATAAATTCATTAACACCGTTACATTTTATACTCACTTTAAAATGCAAATGAGCCGCTGCTTTGTGGTGGTGACGCAAACTTGACTAATGTGATTTGTGGAAAAATGAACGCGGCAGGAGCAGTTTGAATGTTTTTTGTTTGTTAAAGGGACCTACTCCTGAAGGAACCATGACTTGATAAGAGAGAGAAGAGCATTTTGAGGCAGGCTTTGTCAACTTGTGAAATAGAAGAATGAATGTTTCCATGTAGAATATTTAAGATGTATTTGCTTTTTGTTTGTAGAAAGACTTTTATTATAAATATGTATATTTCTTTTTTATTGGTGTAGTGTCTATGCTTCTTTTAAGAGGAATATATCTAATTTATTTCCACGTTGCTTGATCTCAAAGTTGTTTCCTTCTGTAACTGTTCTGGTGACGATAATGTGAGCTGCCCCGTCGTATGCCGATCCCTTAACCCGTTCCACCTCAGAGACCCCCACACTTGGACCAGGCTTTTGTCTGAGTGGCACATTCAGCCTGGTCCTCTCATGACTAAAACCAGTGTCACATTACTGAACTTTTGTTTTTGTTAAATCCAGTTGCAGCTCAGACTTTTTAGAAACGGTTGAGTGACTAGTGTTTGTTCGTAATGTAGATTTGCTCTTTAATTATTTTTTTCAAGAAATAGAAGAAGATTGGTACGGATTGTAATTCTCCGAAATTCCCATCCTTTGAGGCTAAACTTGTTCAAGTTGGGCTCACTATTTTGCAGCTGTTACTAAAATTGGGACTGTGTCTCAGGTGGAGAATAAAGGGTTAAAGGTGGTGTCTGTATGCGATTATGAAAAGAGTGAAACTCTTTGAATGACATACAAAATACTGTGCACGGTTACATCTGTAGCTAAATATATATAAATATATAACATCTGAATGTATGCATAACCTGAATGTCTTTTTGTGACCAAACAACTTTTGTCATCGCAGCAAAGTGACGCCACGCTGTCTCACCAAGTAATGTCAGTATTCAGTATGAATGTACTGCTCAGTTTGTGAAAAAATAAAAAACAATGGGTGGGAAAATCTCCCTTACATCCAGAATGTTGCAGCTGCACGTTCTGAGGAGGTAGTTACATTTTTGGAATTACAGTTTCCTCATTTGTGTCTTTTGCAAGTGGAAGTAGAGATCTGAAATGCGCGGCTGATTTTACAGTCGTTAACTATATGGAAAAGAGGGAGATTTTTGTCAAAGTTCTCATCATTTCTATCTGTCTTATTTGCTGTTGAAGTAGATGTGAGTTTTCTGTAGACGTTCAACATTTTAAACTAAAACCAGCAAAATGAGTCACAGCTATTGGAAGCGATTGCACACTGAACCAGAAGTGATGTTATTTTAGCAGCCAGATTAATGATGGAACCATTGTTGGAAAATCTTCAAGTTCTCAATTTACCTTTTAAGCCATAACACAGAAAGTGTTCAACAATGGTTGACGGATAAATGTGGTTGTTTTTGATAAATTTGTTGGGCAATTTCTGACATCTGGTCTCTACTTCAATATTCACATGGCATTTATGTTTGTGAACATATATATGCAGACAGATTTCTCTTCAAACTGCTGTGCAGCAAATGTATATCTTTTTAAATTTGTATTTTTTCTATATTTATCCCTTTATGTTTTAACTACAAAGAAAATCTTAAAACAATCTTTCTATTAACCTATTCATGTCTTGGAAACATATTTCCCCAGCTACGATCAAAGTTTCTTTGTTGTCTTATTTCCCATCTTGCAATAGGATTTATTTAAGAGTGTGCGACAGTTAATGTTTACTAGAGGAGTGGTTCCAACATCTGATTGATTGATCTCTTAAATTGTCAACTCACATATTTTTTTAAACATTCAAATCAGTAAAATCAATGCACACTAGATTATGTGTTTTAGGAATTATGGATTACATACATTTTCTGAATATTTGTTTTTGTAATGTTTGGATGCTTGAACTCAAGACCTTATAAAAAGTCATCAAATCAGTTCTAATCACTCTTCTGGTCAACAGCTATTGGGGGAAAATTGGGATTTTCTTATTAAATATCTACGCAACTCTCAAAGCAGTCATCCACCATGAGAGAAAGTTCTATAAATATTTGTATTTTATGTAGTTACTTTTTATTTTCTTGCAATGTTTTTGTAAACCTGTTGCGATTTATGAATAAACTAATATACCTGAAATCTTTGGGGTTGTATTCCTTAAAAGTGGAAACATACTTATTTTCACTTCATGCTTTTAAATGAATACAACAAACTGATAAAAACTGTTACAATTTTGAGCAACTACAAATTTGGGAAGAAAATTAAAGACCGTGGAAAAAGGTTTGATCCTGACTGAGTTTGTGACTGGCTCACAGAAAGCTGGATGCGTTGATTTATTAAACTCAATATGTACTTGAGAATAACTGCCCAGTAATTGAAATCAACAGGAAACACAACTATACAGGAAGACCATGGATGACTAAAGGATTACAAAATGCTAGTAAAAAAAGAATACCCTATATCGAAAATTCATAAAGAGAACAATAGAAACTGAAAGGAAGTATAAAAATTACAAAAATAAATTAACAAATATGATGAGATCAAGTAAAAGGGAGTCATTAAAAGGTTACAACATAATAAAGATAACATAAGATATATGGAAGGTATTAAACAGCATGATCAAAAATGAATCAAGGAATAATGATTACCCTGGGTACTTTATGGAAGGGACAAGAAGCATTAATAATAGGAAGGAGATAGTAAATGGTTTTAATGAATTCTTTGTAAACATAGGGCCAGAACTGGCAGAAGTAATAAAGGTTGATGGAATAGAAAGGGATACTGGTGAAAATATTGAAAGGAACAGAAGCTCAAAGTTTTTGAGAGCAGTGGAAGAGAAGGAGATCTTTGACATAGAGGACTTAAGAACAAAACCAGCACAGATTGGAATGATATTGATATAGTAACAGTAAAAACAGTCATTGATGGTATTGTAAAACCATTAACATATAAATTCAATTTGTCTTTTCAAAAAGGGGGTTTTCCACAAGATATGAAAGTTGCTAAAGTTATTCCCATTTACAAAACCGGTGAAAGGCATAATTTTACAAACTATAGACCAGTGTCGATACTCTCCCAGTTCTCTAAGATACTGGAAAAACTGTTCATAAAAAGATTTGACAGTTTTGTGGAAAAATATGAATTACTGACAGATAGCCAATTTGGGTTCAGAAGCAAAAGATCAACAGCTTTGGCATTGATAGATTTAATGGAAAAGATAATGGACTGTATGGATAATAAGAGGTATGCACTTTGAGTTTTTTTAGACCTAAAAAAAGGCGTTCGAAACTGTTAATCATGAAATTCTATTAAAAAATGGAAAGGTACGGGTTTAGGGGAATCGTTGGGGACTGGTTAAAATGCTATGTAGGGAATAGGAAACAATTTGTACAAATAAATTAATACAAATCTGATTTGATGGATATAGCTTGTGGAGTACCTCAAGGTTCAGTACTGGGACAAAAATTGTTTATGTACTTAAATGATATCTGCAGAGTATCAAAAATTTTAAAGTTTGTAATATTTGCAGATGACACAAATATACTGTGTTCAGGTGTGGAATTGCCACAGGAGGTGGTCACACAGGAATTAACGATATTAAAAAAGTGGTTTGATATAAATAATCATTGAATCTAGATAAAACCAGATTTATATTATTTGGTAACCAAAAGAAAAACATCAAAATAGAAATTTGTGTGGATAATGTATATTTAGAAAGAGTAAATTAAATAAAATTTCTTGGTGTGATCATTGACCATAAGCTCTGTTGGAAGCCACACATTACTTATGTTCGGGGGAAATTGGCACGGCCGGATCGTTGCCATCCTGGCAAAGAAGATGTTGGATCAGAAAGCCCTGCACATATTATGCTGTGCTTTACTACTGCCATATATGAATTACTGCGTAGAGGTCTGGGGAAACACATACAAAAGTAACATACATAATACAGAAAAAGGCCATTAGAGTAATAAATAATGTGGGGTACAGGGACCATACAAATACATTCTTTGTCAAAATGCAAGCTTAATTCCAAGACTTGGTGAAGCTCAAAACAGCGCAAAAACTGTATAAAGTAAGAAATAAATTGCTTCCTAAAGAAATCTGTTCATTGTTCAAAGAAAGAGAAGGTGGGTATAATTTAAGAGGGAAATGGAATTTAAAAATACAAAGTGCTAGAACAACTTTATAAACGATGTCAATCGCAATTGCAGGAGTTAAATTATTGAACAGTCTAACAGAAGAGATAAAAGAAAGTAAAAACATAAACCAGTTTAAAGTAAAATATAAAAACCTAATTTTAAATAAGTATAAGAATGAAGAAAACAGGGTTAACCCAGGACGGTAAATGTGGCTGGTTATGCTGTTGTGCTTCTTTTTCTGTGTTTTTTGGTTTGTTTGGTTTTTCTTTTTTTCTCCATAACTGGTGAATCTGCAAATTTACACATTCTCTGTTTTCCATATATTGTTTTGTTTATATATATATATATATATATATATATATATATATATATATATATATATATATATATATATATATATATATATATATATATATATATATATATTTCATATGTTGTTTGTTTAATTTAAGATTGAAAGAAAATTAAATGAATAAGAGGTAAAACTTGGGGGTAGGGACAAATAAGTACATACTTCTGCCTACTCCTTTTCAAACAAATAATAGAATTGTATTTTTTAATGATACATGTCTGAAATGTTTGAAATAAAAATAAACTGAACTGATGTACGGGTGGCTGTACGGAGTAAATGTTTTAATATTTCCAACTGGGCTCATTTCAAGTTGATTTGATTATAGCGATAGACATCGTTAATTTCTGACAGTTCCTCAAACGCACCATCAATCTCGGGTTTGGAATACGCATGCGTACACGCTTTCACCCTTTCCGAACGTTGCATCAGGAACATGGCGGACGTGACACCGGTGGAGGGGGAGAAACTAAGCAAAAAGTGAGCTAATTCGTATCCCACATCTCTTTTTTTAGCGCTTCTTTTCACATTCTTTTGTTGTTTTATATTCAAAGTCGTCGTTTTGTTCTTAATAATGGCCGTCTCTTTTTGTCAATGTTAACCATTTAGTCATAAACACAAAAGCGGAGCTGAGATCCATATGGAGGAACACCACTAGCCTACATATCCCAGATCTTATTTCCTTGTCTTTGGTGGTAGTTGTAGTCCTAAAAGTGAAACTGAACTGGTCCAGATCATCGACATACAGATCCAGATTGACCTGTTTGCCATCAAATGAACTACAAAATGTCATCACGTAGTCGGCCTACTTCATTTTCTTGTCTCAGAGAAAACGATGCCACTTTCAAATATTTTCTGAACATTATATGTTGTGAAAGTGTTGCAGCTTTATTTAAAATGACAAACAAATCGTTTTCTGGACATTTTTGACACTTCCTCCTTTAGATAACAAAACATAATTTTGTTATTAATCGTCCTTACCTCTGAGTGCTGACTGTAGATGTCTTAACCCGCACATTTAAGCCATCTTCGCATCTCTGCTCTTTCACGGTCTTTTCATACATGTGTGTTTTCTCAGGTCTGTCAGCTGGCTGTGGTAGTTCAGCATGCTGTGTCTGGTCAGAGCAGCCAGGCAGCAACTGTACCAAGCCTTTGTGCTCAGGGGACAGTGGTTAAAATATGCATCGCCATGTGCAACTGCAGTCCCAGCTCAGTTTCAAGGGATCCGCTGGAGAGGTGACAAAAGGTTGGTGGCTTTTTCATTCCTGTGTGGGGAAAAACTACCAACCTTTTGTCATCTAAGTAGATGTGATTCCGCATATTTACCTCAGTGGAGCCAAGTGTTGGGTGTGATGATCAGTGATGAAACTTAAGTTACAAAAGGGCTTGAACGTCTTCTTAAATTTGATTTCTAATCGCTTGCAAATGGCTGTTTTTCTTTCTTACAGTGAGCTGAAGAGGCAAATGAAAGCGGAGAAAAAAGCCGCTGAGAAGGAAGCCAAAGCGAAGTTGCTGGTGGACCAAAAAAAGGAGACCAATGATCGTGGGTCATCGCAGCATGCTTCCATATTGGATGAGGAGACACTTGACCCCAATGTAAAATGTGTTTTTGCTCATGTACTTAAATGTTGATTCCTTAATGTTATGGTTCTTTTGTTAAAAAACCTGCTTTCTGTTTTCCTTTGACATAGCAATACTTCAAGATCCGCTCCCAGGCCATCCACGACTTGAAGGGCACAGCAGAAGACCCATACCCACACAAGTATCATGTGGACTTGTCACTTACAGACTTCATTGAGAAATACAATGAGTTACAGCCTGGAGACCATCTTACGGATGTTGTTCTCAATGTGTCAGGTACCAGGAAGAGTGTGAACATTCAATGTTTGCCAGGGGATTCCAGCAGTAGAATCTGTTTGTATGCAATTTTTTCCCCCAGGTCGCGTTCATGCCAAGAGGGCTTCTGGTGCCAAGCTGCTGTTCTACGACTTGAGAGGTGAAGGTGTCAAGCTACAAGTTATGGCAAACTCAAGGGTAATTTTAAGCTTTTTGTTATTCTGAATAGGGAGGAAATTAATTTGGTTTAGTCTTCATTTTTGTGCACCTCGCTCTGACAGGAACTACAAAACCGAGAAAGACTTTGTGGCCATCAACAACAAGCTGCGCCGAGGTGACATCATCGGTGTCCGTGGAAACCCAGGAAAGACAAAGAAAGGGGAGTTGAGCATCATTCCCATTGAGATGACCCTGCTCTCACCGTGTTTGCACATG